CCGGGGTTGAAACCCCTACCCCGGCTTGGGCCCCGGGGATCCCCGCGTGACAACGCTGGTTATAACCATAACAACTTTTAAGTTACAAAACTTATGGAAGTGCAATAGAATCCACACTTAATCCATTATGATCAGTAAGTGATTGCCTTGAATCTCCAGTTTAGATTCAATTTACGGCCTGTCAATTGCATTCTTCGGGTTCCTAAGTTCCATTCAGGTCCAAAATATAGCGATTTTAACATGAAATTAATAGCTTGTCACTACCAATTTAAAATATAATGTCTTATTTAAACGAATAACATGTCCTCTCCTTTTGCCCTTCCTGTTCTCGATGGCTTCAACAAGCTTCCCGTCCTCCTCCCTCACTTCTTCACTATCATCCTCGGACTCATCCATATAGCTTCTAATCTCACGCAGCACCCTCGCCTTCGTTCTCAGAGACTTCTTTTTAACCCCCGATCTCTCCGGCTGTGTCCCCACTTTAGTGTGCTGTGTCAACAATCTTACCAAGCACGCTACCAATCTCGCTTCCCGTGCTTCGGCTTCCCTCATCCTTTCCACCTCCTTCTTATTTTCTTCTTATTTACGCCGCCGCTCTTCTTCCTCTTTTTGCCTTCTTTCCTCATCCATCTTCCTTTTCCTAATCGTTTCTCTAAAATATTCCCGCATCTCTTTTGTTTCATCATCTGCAACTGCCGCCGATACCTGCGTTTGCGCAACAGGTGGCCTACCATTTTCTCCGGCCCAACAGTTCCGGGCGTAACGCCCAACTTTCCCACAGATGTAGCAAAAAACAACCCCTTGTTGATTGTTCCCATTGAAAGGCATTCCGTTAGCAAACCTGGTAACAACCGACATCCCCGGGTTCTGCATATCTCTCGATACCCACATGCGATTTGCCCTTCTTGCCAACCTTCTCCTCCTCCTCCTTCTATCCCTTACGACGCAGCCAATACTATAGAGCCTACCCACGAATCTTTCCAACACGTTCACTAGTTCTTCCTCAGTACTGTCGTCGCGAAACTCCAAAGCTACAAAAATCAAAGGAATGACCCTATCGTAAACTAAATTCTCCACGTCCTGCCACAACCTATCAAACTCTTCTTCTATAAAATTACGATTATTCATCCCCTACTCCCTCCTAGACACGATCGAAATGCGCACTTCGACAATCAGTACCTTTCCCCAATTCTTACTCATGTACTTTTTCGAAGAAGGGAGTCCACCAACACCGATTAATACTATCAGTCCTGGTAACGACACTTTCATAACCCTCGAAACTCCTTGCTTCAACATACCCGTAGGAATCACTCGAACATCGACCTTGGTGCTTCGAGCATGCACACCTGCTTCCCCTTCTAAAACTCAAGGATGATACTCCATCGGTTCAACTCTTCAAAGGCAGGAAAGACGATCACGCTAACCTCGGCCTTCCCCGAAGCCACGTAGGTACTTGAAGACGATCACACTCCAGCGCTCCCTGAACGGGCTTCAACATACGCACCGGACTACAGTCGGTGCCACTTCGTAGCCACCGCGTCAAGTTAACAAACCACCGGTTACCACGATATCAGAGATTAAAGAGCGAACAGGAGTGCATGAGGCCAAAACACACCAAGCCCAGATATCCCGAATCTCATCAGATTGCACCGTTTCCAAATATTTCAAGTACGCTTCAGCCTCTACGCGTTTCGTCGCCTGCGTACATAGCGAACTCATCAGGAGGCAACACCCACCATTCCATATGTCCAACACTCACAGGATTAATCATTTTCAAAATGACAAGTCTTTTTTTTACAAACAAGCAGGTAGTAAGTACAAGAAATATGATCTTTTTTATCTATCTCAAATAGGCATAAATCAAACTCTTTTGTAGGCACCTTTCTACCGACCTACAAAACACGCAAAGGAAACAAGTTAAAAAAAAAATAGTACCATCCCATACCTAAGTCAGACCTTTCCATTCACATGCATGACTCGCGCAACTTTCAGCTACCTTTTCTTTCGAACATTCAAAACAACAAGGTCAAGCAAAGTGTGGATTCACGCAGGGGTGAAGGGAAGTCTGAATCATTCAACTGACTGACTGACCTTGAGTGGAAATGATGTATGACTCACTCAAGAAAACCGTATAAATTCTCGCCTTCAGATGAGAAACTTTCACAACGAGCCATCAGCAAAGTGATCCACACCACTCCCTTACGACAGCCTGCCACAATACCTTCTCAACACACAATCACTTCCCAATAATCTGACTACGTCTCACCATCGCCGTCACACTAACCGCACGACCACACCGTTGTCGTCAATACTAGAGCACGCTGCTACAAAATGTCCCTCACAGTCAAGGCGAAAGGGGCACCGCTTCCCCACCACCACCTAGAACGCACTGCTGCCGCCGCAAAAGTTCGACAACACTTCCTTGTTGCTGCCAATAAAAACACCGTTGACGCCGGAAGATTTCGGCAGCACTCCTGCGTCACCACCAAAATCTGGGTGTCGCCGCCGCAAAAATCGGCAGCGCTTCTGCGTCACCTCCAAAATCTCAGTGCCGCCGCTGCAAAAATCGGCAGCGCTTCTGCGTCACCGCCAAAATCTCAGTGCCGCCGTTGCCGTGCCGAGCGAACAACACCTCCCCTGCGCTCCACCAAGTGCAGCGGCAGCTATGGCTACCCTCACTCCCACGCTCTCTGCAGACCTGCAACGCATCTTTCTCTTCCCCTCGTTGAGATGGTGGCTATGGCTGTGCTCCACAACTATGGCCACCTCCAGCAGTCCTCCCCTCTCTCTTGCAGACCTCCACTCAGCTCCTTCTCACTCCACCAACAACTCCTCCTCCAACAGCCAGCATTCACCCAAGCGAAATGCTAGCAGCAC